CTAGGTATGGGAACTCAATTTTTGATCCATTGAGACAACTTGTGACTTCTTCGGTAGAGTTCTGCGCTAAACATGTGAATTTCCGCTACAACATGGGTCTTGTCATACAAGACATCTAAAACAGGGGTATCAATTGTCAAATTAAGTACATTATTTTTTCATTTTCTTGAGTTTGTGCTGCACTGATTGTAAATGTTACAGCCTCTTAACACTAACACACAACCCAGGCCAACGATGCTTTTGTCGTATATAATCGAAGACGGCCGTGCTTCTAAAAAAATATCTCTAGTGTTTTTCAGATTCTGAGAAACCGTAAGAATTAATACCATTCCATGTAATTTATATCATTCTTTTTCCATCTCTAATGTAACAAAGTAACATTTAAATAAAATTCATGGTGATTGTTAAACTTTCATGTACAAATAGACGTTTAATTTTCTAATGGAAAATCACACATTAGCATATGCAAATTATAATACTGACATGTTGGCAAAATTTCTAGATCTTAATCGATCACGACATTTCTTTTTTTTTTTTGTGATATTATCTACAAATATGTGATATTATCTACTTTTTTTCTTCATCAAAATACTTACTGTTTATTTCCATTCCGGTGTCTTTCCGTGGCCAGAGAGTGTTTATTGAGTACAAGCCTACATACGCTAATGAAAAGAATGAAAGTTAATTCTCGCACGATATGAGGAGTTCTGATAGATTTTACATCAGCAGGGTACATGTAATAATGTAAATAGATCTAAAGGCGAATCCCTTAAGGGCATATTGACTCGAGAGAGTCAGGTCCAAACTTTCGAATGACACTGAACTGGATAAGGCCAAAATTCTGATTAAAACGAGACCAATTTTCAGACTAATATTGTTTTGTTAAATGACTACCACAAAGAGCCCAACCTAAATAGCCTAACAACTGTTTGATATCATCATAATATTTTTCGAATTGTCTTTTCTTAAAAGCTTCGACAGTACCTGTAAATAGCACACTAAGGAAAGTCAAGAGTTTCATAAACATAATAAAATATCTGCTTAAAACGTCTAATGGTGCGACCTCTGGTTCAGCCATCTCGAGAAACCTTGGGTTGAGATTCTAGGACCACTTTCTAAAATACGAAATAAAATAAGATTGTTATAGATACTACTGACAAAAAACTAACTCCTACATTAACAACTTTTGTGTGTTATACCTATTCAGAAATTTTCACAATGCATGGTTGAATATTTATTTTTGTTTGCCTCTTTTTGTTCTTGTTGGTTTGGTTAGTTTACAGCCTTGCTCAAAATTTTATGGGCAGACTTTGATTTTAAAAAATTTGAGATAGGTTGATATGACCTACGAAGAACCGTTTGAATTTTAGTTGTAATTTATAATTTTAAAAATTGTTGGTTTATGATGATAAGAATGCACCTGCCTCGGCAGAGGTCAGTGCTCTCAGAGTACCGTTTTGGTAACAGATTATAACAGAAGGCTCAGGTATAATTAACATGGATTTGGCACGGATGTGTATTCAACATACCTGTCTTTGTTTTCGGCCCACACTACCAACAGTTTTATTTTCTATGAGAAAGTATATTGCTTACAATAATCATTTACATACTGCTGCAACACATTCCATTCCCTTTGGTTTGATGCGCCTTTATCATTTTAAACGATTTTTTCTCGCTCTATTTATTTTAATAAATGTGGGATACAGAACCAATAAGTAATGTGTTTCTTTGTATGTAATTAGAGACCATTCCCACAGATATTTACCCCTGGGGACTCTCACTAGATTGCTGTCAGCCTGACCGGCTTAAATGTCTGTCCCGCCTACCAAAAGCTGTAAGGGGGTAATTGTGTCTCGGAAGCTGACAGCAATTTAGCGTCAGCCCCCAGGAAGTTAGGTCGATCCAGGATGGATCGATCTTAATCTGTGGGAACCCGGACTTAGTTACAGTATTTATGTCAAGTGCATGGTTCGTTTCAATGATGAAAATTTATAATCAGTAGAGTATTTGCTTAATTTTTGTTTTCTTTATCGACACAAAACAGGTTACATTGATCATAACCCTAAGCAAAATGAAAAGTTTGCAGCAACGAGTTTGTGGGACTTAGCAAAAAAATCTGCTTATTTGCAGCAATATTGCAGCAAATATGTTGCAAATTAGCTGGAAGGGATTGCAGTTTGCAGCAGGCCTGATATTTTGCTAAGGGAATCGATGGTTATTGATCTTCTTTTGACTCTCTAACAAGAAATTCATGACCCCATGTACAGTGTTGACCTGCTCGAGGGCAATATAAACCAACAGGTCATACGGAGGTGAAAATACGTATATTCTAATTTGGCGATATTCTTAATTAAGAAATACTACCCTGGACGTCAGATCAGATGAGTTCTAACTTTGACAGGTAACCAGTTGCAGAGTTTGAAAATGAAACTAAAATTAGACAACCCCAGGGTGGATACACAATAACTGAGCTCAGATTATCCCTTGGACATAGCCACGAATTATGTCCAAGTCCCAGCTGAGCTACAGCATGCACATTTCATGATTTCAAAAAAATAGACAGGATTATCTGTATGTTAATTTTTATTTCTCTCTTTGCTCTATCTAAACAAACAAATTAATAGGATATTTATTTCACTGATTGCTATTGTGGTAGATTCTGCCATGGCACTTTTGGACTTTTGCAAGCTGTAATTTTGAAACAGCTGGTAGGACAGTGCCTTCAAGTAGTTTGTCATAAAAAACTGATGAGGGTTAACATGTCTGCAGATATAGCTTTTCTGTATTCTAATCAACGTTGGAAAGAGTGCAAATCTGTTATTCGTACCGCATTCAGCGAGGCTCTCTGCAGAGTTGGATGAATCTACATAGAACGAAAATTTCATTGAAAATGTCAGTATGCACCTTTCATGATATAAATGTGACAAGATTCTTTTTGTGCTATTTTTCCTCCTTTTTCTATTTAAATAAATAAATAAATAAATAAATAGGGTATTTGTTACACCGATAGCGATTGTGGTAGATTCTGCGATGAAACCTACAAGATTAACTCGCACGCGATCTAGCAGCTGTTGATATTGCATTGTCAAGTAGCAGTTTTGAAACAGCTGGTTGAAATCACACAGGATAAGATACCACATCTTCAACTATTGTTTTATCTGCATACAAAATCAAAGTATGCCCGATTTCCAGGAAAAACTGCCAAAACTGATAACTCATTGAGTGTAACCCCACAGTCACGTTTAGACACGAGTAAAATAAAACTGGGAAGGAATGAAATATTAACAGATATCCGCTTTTGCAGTACAAGCTGTTATGGTTAGCATGAAATCAATGAGGCGGCTTACCTTTTTGAATATTCCACCTTCCTCAGTCTTCAGGTGGGGTTAACGGTTAACCGTTGACAGAAAGCCCCTTGAGATGTTGACGACCATGCGTCTTTCTCTATCTGTGAAATTAGGGTAAGTGAGAACGCTTTAGCACTGCTGCATGTATTGATTTTGATATGATGATTACCTGGATCTAGGTCAGGTGTATAGGTCAGGTGTATTATACCACAACTATAAATCTACCTGTCAAAACTTCTTTTTTTGTTACAATAATATTAGTCTACACATAGTTTGGTACCTCGTTCGATTTTTTTTTCTGTTTAGTGTATTACAATGCTTGTTTTTTTTTTTTTTTTTTTTTTTGTAAATCCCCCTTTACACTGGACAGCGTCCTTTCTGCATACCGTAGTACGGCCCCGTTCAAGAGTAAAAGATAATACTTTACCTGCAGTAAAAAATTAATACTTTGCGTGCCGACAACTGGCAGATCATTGAGCATTTATTCTGCAACCAAAGCGATGCTTGTACCTCCTTTTTATGACCACAGCGATGCCAGTTTCATGGTCGCACAAAGGACGCGGAGATGACGAAGGAATTTTTACAATAGTTATGGGTGTTTTATCAAAAGCATCAGAGGAGTAAGACACTTCCACCAACATCAGACAAAATTAAAAATATAGGACATATCGAGGGCATTTATGGAAGAGAAAGAAGTCTCACAGCAACGGGTAATGAAATAAAACTAGCCCCAACATGACTTCAAGCATCAATCACTTGTAAATGGATAGATCTAGTTTGAAAGATAGTTTTATCGGGGAATCGGACCTAAAATATGCTACCATTTCTTTCGTTATCCGGGGCATTTATCACAAGGTCGTGATTGTTGGTAACGCCATGGTGGTAACGTCATGTTTAGGCGTTTAAACGACGAATTATTCATTAAAACGCCTAAACATTACCACCACTTAACCGTATCAATGTTGAATCATCGACAAACTTTATAATACAGGTAATTTTATGGTTAGTTAAAGGAACATTAATTGTTCATTATGACAAAAAATGAGGGTAAACGACAATTTTCCCATACTTAATTAATTTAGTCAATCAATAGTGAATATTTATCTGTTATCCAAAATAATGTAAATATGGAGTTTTTGGCGAAGGGTAACAATGTCCTTAACTTATTTTGATAAAATGTTAATTGCTTACATAAACATCGTATCGTTGAGCAAAAATAGACAAAATCAAGGGTCAAGGGAAAACATCATTGAGTGCACTTTATACATTGTTTCTTATAAAATCAGACTCAGTAAAATTAGCTGCTGGTGATCAACATAAGTTGATGGATTGTCTATAGGGGCCTACGGAATACATGGAATATATAGAAAATATGTGGTGCCACATGATATTTCTTGTTTCATTTATGTCTTATGACAACAAGATAGTTTCTCTACCGAGCAATTCTGACTTTGTTTTAACATTTATTTAACAATACCTTATCTCCTTGTAATCTTGGGTAATTATGGCATTTAAAGGGATAATAAGTCTTCGTATGAAATCTGTATTTCACAATAAAAACATTGTGAGTGACTCATAAAAATATAATATATTCTGTTTTCCCACAAAAACGGCTGTTATAGCTATTATTCTGATATCATAGCTTGNTGGTCTGGCGTAGGGAGATTCGATTGCATTTCATATAATTGAAATTCAATATACAATGCTTATAAACAGTATAATGGTAAAAAATTACTACAGTCTACATATCCTCTTAAAGCCACACATCACTAATTTATATAAAAAAAAAAACATTTACGTAGCCAAATGTTCACAAGCACAACAGAGCTGTTTTTTCCTCAAAAGTAAATAAGATAAGTACATATGTCTGAAAATTGTAATTTATAAATGACGAAAACTAATAACATTCAAAGTAACAAAACTGGGGGGATAAAATCACCCCCACCACCCCCGCCCCAAACTATATAACTGCCATAATATAAAATAAATAAAGTAGGTTAATAAGTGCAAACAAGATTAATTAAGAAAAATATGAAAAAAACACAAGAGCTATTGGAGCAAAAGGTTGGCTCAAATGAAAAATAAAGGCCACAAAGTTACAAAACTGGGGATATAATAATACATCCACCAAACTACATAAAAATAATAAAGTAAGTTAATAAGTGCTACCAAGATTAAAAAGAAAAATATGAGAAACCACAAAGCTATCGGAGCAAAAAGTTGGTTCAAATGAAAAAAAAAGGCCATAAGATGTGAGAGAAGCTCACATCCCCGCCAATTATTGACATTACACTAGCCCAAAGGAATTATTTCTAAAAAAAAACACCCACCACCGATTTATATAGAAAAATATATACATGTGGCAAAAAGGCAAGTATTGACATTACACTAGCCCAAAAGGAATTATTACTAAAAGGTGCGCCATGGGCGTTCATACAAAAGTACAAAATGTCGTTGACAATAAAGGTCGTTAACAATTAATTATTCAAACAAATAAGATAGGTAGCTTGGTAGGAAATGTATACGCAGTGATTATTACTGTGCGTATTTTAAGCGCCTATCTGATTCACTTTGATTTGTGACAGGCGTTCTTGATGTCGAGGAAGATACAGTTTAGTGAAATGACTTGAATTATTTGGGCTGTCTGCCAGCACCGCTCCAACTATCCTCACATCCACACCAGATCGTCTGACGGGAACTCTGGAATATATGGACATGCAATATCATAATAAGCTTTATGTTTTTATGCATGTGCCGTATACTTAGGCCTTTTTCACGCTATGTGGAAGACTTTTAATTGGCCGACAGTTTGAAGCGACCTTGTTAATTAAAAAGAGAAAACTCCCGTGGCATAATTACATGTTAGAGCAAGTCAAATGTCGCAAAACAATAAAGGGGTACCCGGAGTAACGACCTGTGGGTCTGTGTAACAAAAAGACCGAACTCCGTTTAGTTACATGTATAAGGGTTAGTCTGACAAAATCTAGGGCGAGGCTTACCTGTACAATTGAATGGGAAGCGGACTCTGTATTATATGAACTCTCTCTGTCAGTCCACGACATGATGTGAAAATGACCTTATTTAAATCTGTAGTAACATGAAATATGCCAGCTAATTGTGTATTGTAAGTATTAATATGTTTATGTATAATCCTACATTGAAATTTGTACCTTGTAAAAAACAAAAATGTCTGGCTTAGTAAACAATTTACCTTCGTGTAACTGAGTAAATTCGGTATTTAACATTTTCTGGAACACGCCTGAGGTGTCAACACGCTTCAGCTCTTCTTGGTACTTGAGTGCCGAAACTCTCATAGTGTGCGTGCGAGTTGGAAACTTTTTGGCCATCCTACACAGGTAATATAAACCTATAATGAAAAAAAAACATAATAACAACACGCATTTTACATACCGATTATCAGATAAGAAGGCGATTTGAGAAGAAAGATCCTTAATGGGTACATACTCAACTAATTCAACCCACTGACCAATTGTAATTTTCACTCCTTTGTTATATATATATATGGGCAGAAAGAGCCACGCCGGTTTGACTTTATCTCTTTGTTAAGGCAGTATATTATATATTCAAGAGTTCACATACTCCTGCTAAAATTGATGAACAATTTTAGAAATTATAGATATATCTAGCTGCAGCATTGACCAATAAGGGCTTTTTGAAGTTATGAAAGTGAGCAAAATTCCTTGAGTAATGCAAAATAGTTGGTTAGAGCTGTCTATCCTGCATAACAGAACTGATCAGAATGGCAGGCCGCGTGTACACTTAAAGCCCAGTCACAGGTGCTTGACGTGGCAAGTAAATATTGTTTTGCACATATATGTAGGATGGCAATGTCTTACCCTCTACCAGGGGGACTGATAGATTTTTTACGGATATTCACAGAGAGGTCTCTAGAAAGATAGATGGTCATTTTGGTTCTAAGTCACCCTGTTGAGAAATCTCTCTTTTCTGTCCGCTGACTTAATTAGAACCAAAATGACCATCTATCTATCTAGAGACATATCTGTGAATATCTGTAAAAAATCTATCAGTCGCCCTGGTATTGGGTAGCAATCTCTCATCTTAAAGCCCAAGAGAGAGCTTAGTGAATGCTATGGATGTTCACGGTGTTTTGGGTGCAAACAAAAGGATATGCTATTTGCGTCGGATTTAAGTTGGATATGGTATATAATGTATATAGGTACCACCATCGAGAATGAATGTGGGACCTTTTTCAAATTGATTTTCGTCTAATTTTCTTAACAGCTCTAAGCCTCTGTCTCAAAAGCATAAGTGTGCGTTAGACATTTGTATAAAAACAGACGAAAAATTAGAACCTACCAAGTTGGTGGCTGGTGTTGGAATCTGCCAGATGGCGTCCTTTGACTTCAACTGCTCTTTCCAAGATTCTCCAAACAAAGCCTTGCAAATACGGGTTCAGCCAGATTTTGTCCTGGAGGAGGTAATTTCTAGCTCTGGTCGTTTCAGCTGGTTTGAAATTAAAATAATTCATTTCATTTGGTTTGCTGTCAAATTGTAATGACTACTGTATGATATTAAAAAAGCTATTTCAGAGTTATATAACAAATGCGGTTATGGTCAATGTACGAGTTATTTAGAGGAAAAGTGAACATTTGGACTGATCCGCACCATTGTCACCATAGCAACGGAGCATTACCTGCAGCTATGCTAATCAGCCACGTGGCCCTCCAGTGGGCTGTGCCGTTCTCATATGGCTTCCATATTTCCTTCGCAAGTAATAAGTAGTCCAAGGCAAGGTCGTACCTTTCGAGGTCCTGATAGAACTGCCCCATATTGTGACATGCTGAAATAAACGCACAGATGGATATTTTTCAAATTGTTTAGTTAACTGTCTGGAGTGTCGAATATCATTTTTATTCAACCATTCATGGGGAAATTTTGATTAATTAGTTCTTTGGAATATAAATCATATTATGTTTATCAATATGTTTATGTTTATCATATCATGTTTATCAATAGAAAATCTTTAATTATGATGAAATGTAAAATGATCTATTTTGTCTTTAAAATGCCAACTTTCTTTTTAATTGGTTGTCGCTAAAATCATGAATCAAGAGCAGAAACATTATTCTAACTACCGAAAATATCCGAGGATTTTAAATTCATCTCAATATTTAACAAAATAAATAATGTAGCAAATATAACTACCTAGATACATGCGGAATTCAATGTCCATTCTGTAATCTGTCATCTCTGGAGAAACATCCTTTAAAATGTCCTGCTTTATGTTAAAAGTCTCGTGTAGAAGGTACTCTATGTACGCTTTCTTCTTGTACGGCATAGGACCGATATCTTGGTACTGCATAGCCCGAGAAAGTATTTGAAACCCTGATATACAAATTGAACTTGATCATTTCAATGTTAAAACAGTTAGGAATTGTGGGGTAGTTACTAAGCATATATATAGGACAACTACCCAGCAAACACGTCAACTTCGGATCACGTGACTAGCACGTTGCTACCACATTATAACGTCATAGCAACGTGCTAGCTACGTGGTCCGAACGTGACACGTTTGCTTGGTAGCTGGCTCAATGTCAATTAAGCTCACCTTAGGGGAGACCGGGGCTAGTTGGACCCGGGGTATGTTGCCCCCCCCCCCCCCCCCCCATCAATATATGACAAAGTAACTATGGGTTAAAGAATTGATCACATCATTTTGTAAAGTGACCGTATCCAATAGTGCTAAAAAAGCGTGGGCAGTGAGTCCAAATGAAATAATTTAGCATCTTAAAGTAAGTTTATTAAAAAGACTTGATGGGGGTCCAACTTACCCCGGGGTCCAACTAGCCCCGGTCTCCCATAATCATTCTTTCACCAAACACGTTTAAAATGAGTTTTATATTTTGGCATTAACCAGACTTCAAGGTATAGGGTAAAACAAAAATACCTCAGTCGTTCCAATAGCTCTAAAACTTGAGACAATTTTCAGCAATATTACCTGCTGCTATCTGTACTTTGCTGTGGCAAAAATTGCGAATCAGCTCTAAGGCTACTGTCCCCAGCCTCTCTGCCTCCAAGAAATTACCCAGTTCGAAGTGAAGCTTCCCAAGTTGATTCAGATGAGCAGCGTACCTACAACGCCCAGAGCTGTTACCAGTATAGGTGGCATCCGCTAACTTAACAGCGGCATCCATGATGGGGACGGCGTCTTGATATCTGTTATGGCGTCGAAGGTACATGGCGACGCTGGATAAAACTGGTATAGGGTCATCTAGGATAGAGTTATCAAAACGTTTGCTGGTCAGCATTTTGGTCAGTTCTCTAGCTACGGAGGAAGCATACAGTGCAAGGGTGTCGTATTCCAAACACCTGCGTTCAGTCTGGCACGTGTAGTGGTCATGTAAGAATGTCGTATTGTAATCGGGGAATAGAGTGTCCAGTATGGCGATGGCACTGTTTATTCCTGTTACCCAGCGGGTCATGTTCTGTCTAATATTGTTAACATGCAGACGTATTAGAATGCTGTGGACAATCCAAAGCTTTTCATCATTTTCAGAAGCAGGTTCAACTATGTACAAGTTTATCGGTTTTTTCAAAAGACCGTCCAGGTTGCTCTGGATGTGTGCCTCTGAAGGGTCGTTTGTAGAACCGATTAAAAATTGACGAAGATGTGGTGATCTTAATTTGAAAGCACTTTTTAATAGAAATTTCTCCCCGAACTTGGGCGATAGCAAGCACACAAGATCTATAAGTTCCAGCTGAGCGTTGTTTAATGTCTCTAAACTTGAAGCGAACGGAAATTTTATTCGGTCGATTACGTCAAAATTGTCGTCCGCCGGATCAGTTAATGCCCAGCTTGGATCCCCTTCCCGCCATTGATTCAGGAACTCGTTGGCAGACCTGTTCGTAGACCTCAAGTTGGCGGCAACCAGTGAGATGGACATAGCATGACTGGCTAAAAACTTTGGCCCTACCAAATTATCAATGGCCTCTTGTTCTTTTTCTGGGATATTTTGCAATTTATTGGATGCCTCATTGTTGCTAAAAATTCCATATCGTATTTTTATAAAGAGAATAGACGACCAGTAAGAAGTCAGTAGACGGCCTAACTCTATTTGTTTGTCCACATCAAATGCAGGGAACCATACTTTGTATCGTGACGTAATGATGACGTGTGAACCGCGTGGAAATGGTGTCTTAGTCTCCCCAAATATATCTGTCAGAATACGTTTTTCATCCACTCCATCAAATATGATGAGCACGTTGTCAACGGTGGAGAGGTACTCCATTAGTTTTGGCACTATCATATCCAGTAAGTACGGTTTGTCGCCTTCCTGCTCCTTGCAACTATCTTCTTCGGTCATCAGGCCAAGTTTTTTTAACCCAATGTCGAAAGCCTAAAACATATTGAATATATTTTTTCCATAAGCTGCAGCCTTGAATAATCTGACACCTTCAAGATGGTTTCTCATAAGTTTTTTTAACATAAGTCAAAGTTGCGCAATATTTCAGGACTTTGAATTTGTTTGAAATAATCAAAGTTGTAGTATCCGTGCCTGAAAATCCCAAAGTCATATTTGCCATGTCTACATTATTTGCAAAATTCAGAAGCAATAAAACATCTCAAATAAAAGTACCTGATAACCTTTTGAAAATCAAATGCATGGCGGTCTAAACTCAACTACACGAACCGAACGAGTAATGATCTATGTGAGAGGAAAATTCCCCTTTTTTTCTAGAAAAAATATGAATTGGCAAGAATATGCACGATATTATACATTTGACAGAAACATCTAAGTTCTTATAGTACGAGAAGCTAGCATTAGGGCACCCCATCATAACTTACCGTCTTCCTCAATTCAACGTCCAATTTTGATTTCTTGTTGGCAAAAATCCAAATGATGTCAGTATAATTGTTCCTCATTAGTGATGAATACTTCAAAGCTAACTGGGTTTTTCCACACCCCTCTGGTCCAGAAATAACCTTTGTAAAAATAATACCTAATTAATGTTTTGATGACCAGAGTGGCTACCATTTTATTCCTACTCTTTTAGCACCGTGCTCGCTAGACATCTCCCGCAACTCTACCGTGGAACATTAGTTATATCTGGGCCTCAGATGTAGCACCTTATTCACGAGTAACTTGCGAGACTTTCCGAGACCTTGGGTGCCATGCTGTTTATGGTAGCTAACAATATTGGACAAGGTGAAACTTGGGTGGAGCTAAAGGTGGAATTTTAATTCTTTATAAATATGTCACTGAAAAACGTATATGTGTTTTTTCTATTTCTCATTGATTTTGGAAAGGGGACATCTTGAGTTTCAATTTTGTTGTTTCCATGATATTCGTTTTTATATTTATAAAGATCTAACATACGTTGATTGTGTCGCAGGCCAGTCTGAAATTCATTCAGATGCCCTAGAATAAATACACTATATACTGTATTTTCTTTTCACGATAGTCAAAATATAAAAACAGCATATAATGTAATCTTTTTCAGTTTTATTTATTAAATGTTTTTCTGTAATATTGGAATTTCAATATTACCTAGTCAGATTTTAATTATTTTTATATGACTGGTTTTCAACCTGACGTGCGACACTGTTCAAAATAAAACCTAACATTCATGCTTTATGAGAGAGAGAGAAAGAGAGAGAGAGAGAGAGAGAGTGGGAGAGAGAGCTCTTACCGTTAAAAGCGACTTCCTAGACGTTTGGGTAAATTGTTCTCTGAAGTCAAGGTAATTTTTTTCCATCTCCGCCAAAGTCTCATTTCGGCCAGTGAAGTATATGGTAGGATCGCGTACTGAAAAATCCATAGACCTGTTTTAGTCGTGTCCTATATAATACAACTCGACCAACTTCAGCTGAGTACAAACGCCCATTTCAAATTAAAAATGCACCGAGATTCAATCCGTTATAATTAATTTATTTAGGCAATGCTGTTGGGTTACATTTTACTAGCATATACAAAAGTAAAATGCTTATCAAAATATTGAAAACAGATAGTCCAGGCATCGTTTTCAGGTGCCATCAAATATTTTCTTCTGTTGAGCTGCTTGGAAACGGGTAATCTGAGTTGGGTGTAGACATTCTATGCGCCTATCGCCAATGACTATGCCATTACTTTTCTAATGCATTTGGCTTCCTCTTTCTCTCTTTCTATCACAAGATACCGCCAGTAGATTTTTAGATTTTTAAGAAAATAGATATTTCACGTGAACGGTCCCTTTGGTTCCGTTTATACGAAAAATCTATTTTCTAAAAATCTAAAAATCTATTTGCGGTATCTTGTGATCACGGACTGTGTCGAATACCCCACGGCGTAATTACGGGCAGCGCGAGCCAGTTTCTTCCAAATTACGTTTTTANTTCGCTAACTTAACAGCGGCATCCATGATGGGGACGGCGTCTTGATATCTGTTATGGCGTCGAAGGTACATGGCGACGCTGGATAAAACTGGTATAGGGTCATCTAGGATAGATTTATCAAAACGTTTGCTGGTCAGCATTTTGGTCAGTTCTCTAGCGACGGAGGAAGCATACAGTGCAAGGGTGTCGTACTCCAAACACCTGCGTTCATTGTGGCAGGTGTAGTGGTCATGTAGGAATGTCGTATTGTAATCAGGGAATAGGGTGTTCAGTATGGCGATGGCACTGTTTATTCCTGTTACCCAACGGGTCATGTTCTTTCTTATATTGTTAACATGCAGACGTATTAGAATGCTGTGGACAATCCAAAGCTTTTCATCATTTTCAGAAGCAGGTTCAACTATGTACAAGTTTATTGGTTTTTTCAAAAGACCGTCCAGGTTGCTCTGGATGTGAGCCTCTGAAGAGTCGATTGCAGAACCGATTAAATATTGACGAAGATGTGGTGATCTTAATTTGAAAGCACTTTTTAACAGAAATTTCTCCCCGAACTTGGGCGATAGCAAGCACACAAGATCTATTAGTTCCAGTTGAGCGTTGTTTAATGTCTCTAAACTTGAAGCGAACGGAAATTTTATTCGGTCGATTACGTCAAATTTGTCGTCCGCCGGATCAGTTAATGCCCAGCTTGGATCTCCTTCCCGCCATTGATTCAGGAACTCGTTGGAAGACCTGTTTGTAGACCTCAAGTTAGCGGCTACCAATGAGATGGACATAGCATGGCCGGCTAAAAACTTTGGCCCTACCAACTTATCAATGGCCTCTTGTTCTTTTTCTGGGATATTTTGCAATTTATTGGATGCCTCATTGTTGCTAAAAATTCTATATCGTATTTTTATAAAGAGAATAGACGACCAGTAAGAAGTCAGTAGACGGCCTAACTCTATTTGTTTGTCCACATCAAATGCAGGGAACCAATTTTTGTATCGTGACGTAATGATAACGTGTGAACCGCGTGGAAATGGTGTCTTAGTCTCCCCAAATATGTCTGTCAGAATACGTTTTTCATCCACTCCATCAAATATGATGAGCACGTTGTCAACGGTGGAAAGATAATCCATTAGTTTTGGTACTATCATATCCATTAAGTACGGTTTGTCGCCTTCCGGCACCTTGCAACTATCTTCTTCAGTCATCAGGCCAAGTTTTTTCAACCCAATGTCGAAAGCCTAAAACATATTGAAGATATGTTTGTCTATTTAAGCTGCAACCTTGAATGATCTGACGCCTTCGGGATGTTATTTCATAAGTTTGTTAACACGAGTCAAAGTTGCGCAATATTTCAGGACTTTGAATTTGTTTGAAATAATTGAAGTTGTAGTATCCGCGTTTGAAAATTTCTCAAAGTCACATTTGCCATGTCTACAAATATGCAAAATAATCATTTTTTCCGAATTCAGACCTCATGAAGCAATAAAACATCTCAAATGAAAATACCTGATAACCTTTTGAAAATCAAATGCATGGCGGTCTAAGCTAAACTACACGAACCGAACGAGTAATGATCCATGAAAAGAGGAAAATTCCCCTTTTTTCGAGAAAAAATATGATTTGGCAAGAATATGCACGGTATTTTACGTTTGACAGAAATATCTACGTTTTGACAGTACGAGAAGCTAGTATTACGGCATCTCATCATAACTTACCGTCTTCCTCAATTCAACGTCCAATTTTGATTTCTTGTTGGCAAAAATCCAAATGATGTCAGTATAATTGTTCCTCATTAGTGATGAATACTTCAAAGCTAACTGGGTTTTTCCACACCCCTCTGGTCCAGAAATAACCTTTGTAAAATAATACCTAATTAATGTTTTGATGACCAGCGTGGCTACCAATTTATTCCTACTCTTAATTTTAGCACCGTGCTCGGTAGACAACTCCCGCAACTCTACCGTGGAACATTAGTTATATCTGGGTCTCAGATGTAGCACCCTTATTCACGAGTAACTTGCGAGACTTTCCGAGACCTTGGGTGCCATGCTGTTTATGGTAGCTAACAATATTGGACAAGGTGAAACTTGGGTATAGTTAAGGTGGAATTTAATTCTTTATAAATATGCCACTGAAAAACGTAGGCCTATATGTGTTTTTTTTTTCTCATTGATTTTGGAAAGGGGACATCTTGAGTTTCAATTTTGTTGTTTCCCTGATATTCATTTTTATCTTTATAAAGATCTAACATACGTGGTGCAGGCCAGACTGAAATCCATTCAGATGACCTAGTACATGTATAAATACATTATATACTGTATTTTCTTTTCATAATCGTCAAAATATAAAAACAGCATATAATGTAATCTTTTTCAGTTTTATACAGAAGAAACATTTACAGAAAAAAACGTTTAATAAATAAAATTGAAAAAGATTACATTATATGATGTTTATACAGTAGGCCTAATATTGGAATTTCAATCTTACCTAGTCAGATTTTAATTTTTTTTATATGACTGGTTTTCAATCTGACCTGCAACACTGTTCAAAATGAAACCTTACATTCATGCTTTATGAGAGAGAGAGAGAGAGTGGGAGAGAGAGCTCTTACCGTTAAAAGCGACTTCCTGGACGTTTTGGTAAATTGGTCTCTGAAATCAAGGTAATTTTTTTCCATCTCCGCCAAAGTCTCATTTCGGCCAGTGAAGTATATGGTAGGATCGCGTACTGAAAAACCCATAGACCTGTTTTAGTCGTGTCCTATATAATAAAAATCAAACAACTTCAACTAAGTACAAACGCCCTTTTCAAATTAAAAATGAACCGAGATTCAATCCGTTATAATTAATTTATTTAGGCAATGCTGTTAGGTTAAATTTTAATAGCATATACAAAAGTGATAGGCTTATCAAAATATCGAAAACAGATAGTCCTGGCATCGTTTTAAGGTGCCAACAAATATTTTCATCTGTTGAGGTGCTTGGAAACCGGTAATCTTAGTTGGGTGTAGATATCTTATGGGTCTATCCCAAAGAACTATACCATTACTTTTCTAATGCATTTGGCTTAACGTTTCTCTCTCTTTCTCTCTCTCTTTTTCTTTCTTTCTCTCTCTCACACACAAAAACACGCACACTAAAGCGGTAAGTGAAAGAATCACTAAGCTGGAAGACGGGCCAATATTGCATCATAGGGTTTTATCGTGTAAGAATTGCATTGTGAATATTTATACAGTAAAACACCCCGTCTTTCCTTTCACAGGTATACAAATCTCAATATTTATCCTTTAACCTTTCTCCATAATATAGAGTAACATAAAATAATATTAAGTGCAAGTGTATAGCTATCGTATAACTTCCAAAAAAGTCCCATTTTCCAGTGGAAACATTTAGTCAGAAAAGCTACATGTAAGCAATCGGCTGGATTATTGAACCCAATTTTGACGACAAAATAGTTTTTACTTTGTGTCAATGTTTGGTAGAAACACACTGATTTTTTTCTTTTTTTATCTTTACCTACTTACTGTTTTGTACTCTTTCAAACTCTCCGTGATATTGCTGGTTAGGTGTACTTGTGTTGCAGATGGCTGGTAAAAAAGATTGAGTGTTTATTTTTGTACGAGATCAGGAGTCGAGATGCATGAACAGGTTTAAAATGTACAGGTTTCGTTATTTCTTAAAATCTTCCTCTAGAACTATGCCCAGCGCGCACTTTATCAGAGCCACTTAATTAGCACCAGGATAAGCTGAACAACAATGGGAATATATATACATCATAACAAATGAATGCGAAGCATGGACCAGAGACACTAAATGCAGTTGCAATGTGGTGCTATAGACGAACATCTTGATACTTGACAAAGTACACACGACAAACGAAGAGGTACCCCAACGTTCAGAAACCACCAAGAGACAAAAACAATAAGATAGAGACAAAGTACCTTTATGAGCCACTGCGTTTGGTACTTGATAATACTTGTATGTCATTATGGACCCTACAGCACACAGTAACAGGAACAGGATACAATTCTTAACGTTACACAGGGTCTCATCTTTCTTTTGAACCATCTGGCCACTTACTAAAAATAGAAAAGATAATACGATGGTTATACTGACAAACAAATCCATACACCCCCCCCCCCCCTGTAATGTACAAAATAATACTTTGGATACACCTACTCCCCATAGGATGATGGCACCATTCGTCTTGGATACTAGCTCGTAGTCTGGGTTAAGGATTGTATTTTTCCTAGCTTTGATACCATCCTTTTACCAAAGATCGGTAAGTAGCACACAAACACAATTAACGAAGGCAACAAAATCACTGCCAAATTCACTTTCCATAATATCTGGAAATTGCTTGGAAATTCAGATTAAAAAAATCCTTGTCGTAATTTCTTTACCTGGCATGGGTCCTCTCTCACCCCCTGTCCCTAGGTCGGTTGATTGGTTACAAGGCAGCATGGGTCCTCTCTCACCCCTTGCCCCAGGATCAGCTGGTGGGTCACTAGGCAGCCTGGGTCCTCTCTCACCCCCTGCCCCAGCGTCAGCTTGCAGGTTACCAGGCACCATGGGTCCTCTCTCACCTTCGTCATCTCCCACTTCCTGTAAAGGTCCTCTCTCACCCCCTGTCCCAGGGTTAGCTGGTGGGTTACTAGGCTGTGCTTGCTGCTGTTTGAGCTCATCCAGTGTTTTGTCGATTTCTTCGACAACATGCGGATAGCTGGCCTTCAAGGACTCCCTGAATGCATCAAAGGCTTTAGGTCCAAGAGTTGGTATGTCATTAAGGAAATGTGTCATGCGCATAAGCCGTGTTTTTTTTGCCAGTATATTTTCCTGCATATCTTCAGTCATAATGTATTCCTAAAAGCAAAGAACGATTGGCATTATATATAAAGTTTCCGTTGTTATAAATAAGTTTTGAGAGAAAGGGATACAATTCGCATTGCATATCTCTACAGCAAGAATTTTATTAATTCATTTTAATATCCATTTTTATTTAATTACCGTGGTTTGTCTTTTATGATTTTTTTAAAATTAACCTTTACTGTTGCAATCTAAATTCACCTGTCTGTATATATATGATATACAAATAAGAAACTTAGAACTAAAACAACAGCAACAGGTTTATAGATTGTGATTATACAACTATATTGATACATTGACACAGTGCACCTTGGTGTTTAAGGGAAAGTGATGAATTTCCAGGAAAATTAAATTGATGATACATAAGAATATACCTGTAACACTTTTTGTACCTTTCTGAATTTCGCAAACGGATTTGATTGTCACTAAAAGATTTTTTTTTATTTGGAATAAACCGTGTTGTACCATTGTATGTGTTTGTGTGTGTGTGTGTGTGTGTGTGTTGAAGGGGGTGAACAGTGGTCTACCTGTATAAGATAATTCATCAAGTACTTAGGATCCACGTTGTCACATAAATACTCTCTAAGTCGTCTGAGAACTTCTTGGTGTTTCTTCTCCATATTGTTCTTTAATGCTGATTTAGGGCTGCAACATAGGCTGAAATGAAAATTGATAATATAAATGACACTGGATGAAATCTGTTAGTAAAAAACTGAATTATCTGATGATATTTTACTTGTATAAAATCTGCATATAAACTTTCTTAGTGCAATGGAAATTGAAGATTTACAGGTACCTTTTGGGAACGTGGAATACGTCGGAAATCAAAACTCATCCATGTATTATCAATGGTTTTCACGTTTCAGCAGCACTCCGACTCGAACACAATGGGAAAAATGAACATTTGATCTCCCATGGTTTTACCCACAATAAACAATAAACGACCTAGAGCAATCACGTACAGGCCCATGGTAAATAGTTTTGTCTAATCTCGCCTAAATTTCAAGGTAGGGGTAGATATAAGTCGATACACATACTCCTTTTATTCTGAAAGTGTAGGGTAAATCTCAAGCAATTTTATTCACATATTTGACCAAATTCATACTCTTAACTAAAATCCCAAATTAGAAATTAACCTTTTGGTCCGTTCTACCTATAAAACCCCCGTTCCTTTAGCATTTCGTTCCAGAATTTTTTTTATCCAACCCTAATTCATAACATAAATTCTGACATTAAAACTAAAAGGGTGAAATTTTAAAAATAGTAAATACAAGAGGTTTCTCTGGCTGCAACTGCTCGTCTGCTACATGTACAAGTAACGAGTCCGATCAATTCGGAAGAAAATGATTCGTGCGCAAACTAATACAGTTCATTGTTTATAGGCATGGTATGAGTTTTGGGTAGTGCCAAGAATTATAGGATTGCTTCAAGCACAAAGGTTCATATAAATGCTAACCATAACCGTCAGGATAGATCCATTATTTAAAATGTTTGGATATCATATCCCTTTAATTTGGAGAAAATCTTTTTCTCAGATCTTGATTAAAACGGGGACCCATTATAATGAGTCCAAGATCAAACGTTTTGTTCTATCATATAGAATTTATCACTAATAGGTGTTAGATGCTTAGCAGCATAAATTCTACGAGTTACCATTATATCAGTAATTTTACATCTTCAGACTTTATCACGGCCTTGTAAACCCTGTATTCTTTATCCAACAGCTGTGTTGTTGACAAATATGCGACTTTTGAATTTCTTAAGGTTATTGATACCCTTCATTATCATCCAAATACAGAAAATGAGTTTTTTCCAGCATATAATTATTTAATTATGCATCTATCTTTGTGCTGATTTACAACAATGTAAAAGCCCTCGAAAATATAAAATATCGGCGTTTATATTTTTTCGTTGCAATGTATAAGCATAGGCAACCCAAAGCTTTAATCGTCAGTTAAACACCTTTCTATTTTGAGGTGAGATAGCAATCAGTATGGGGCGTCACTTCATCCCTGAACTAGATTTTATCACGAAAATTGGCAGATTTGATCAGAAGAGTATAGGCTACAATCCCGTGCCGTCATTTTGGTTTCAATTTTTTGTTATGGCGTTAGAAGCCCCTAATTACAGATTTTCATTAAACTGAGGCATCATTGTGCTTTATCAACGATAAAATCTTAACAAAGACTTAAAGAAAAATCACTGACACGGCTTTTGAAGTACTAAATAGTGTCATTAAATCGGTGATCGTGGATGTTCAGGTAAAAGAGAAATTTGGGAAAACGATTTTAAGTTTTTACCCCAAAATATGTGTAAATGTTAGTTTATTATATACAGCTAGGACCCAGTGCCACCTTCTTCTACTCTCGATACATTGCCAGACACGTACGCCATGTCTTCCTGATCATTTCAGAAGAAATTATCCGATACTTTATTTGAGAGTTATTTCATTTTTAAGACCTGCCACTCCGAATTCGGAAAGATTAGTAGCTTTGCATAATATGTATAAATAGAAATTATGATTTCGGGAAATTTTCGAAAGCGTACGTCGTGTCCTAAATGGTTTAGCGATTGTACCCGTCCCCATTTGTATAACATATTTTCACTGTTTGTTTGACACAATATACAATCGGCAAGGCTATGCTATTAACCCATTATGTTGTATTTGCTGTAGGTCAATAATATTTTATGTAGTGGCTGGTATGTCATCTATTTTCGTGCATATTAAAAGTCATATTAAAAGTCATGTTGGGAAAAATTAGTAACTTTGCAGGATATGTAGCCACAGAAAATACTCGTATGACTTTTGGAAATCTTTAATGCGTACAGTGTATCTCTAATGAATCAATGAATCATCGACCGTAACCCTGCGGTTTGTGTGTTTTTAGTATCATTTTCACTCTCCGCCTAACATAATAAACAAACAACAATGCTATGGTATTGAGCTACTATGTTGTATTTGATTTCTAGTGATTTTTATGCGATGCTGCCAAGTGCATGGTTAACCTGCTAGATATGGGGCTTTTTTTTTGTAAGCGATGGCAATCTATACCCTGATCATGCGTTCTACAGGTAAACAACCGCAGAGTGTGAAAATGAAACTAAAATTAACCAACCCAAGGGCGGATCCACGATACTTAGAGGGATTATTTCACGGCCTGGTCGAGCTCATGGTTTTCAAATTTCGTTTGAATTTCGTTTGAATTGAATATTTGTTATACTGATTGCGATGGTTGTGGTTTGGGCTCCAATCGATAACTACGTCTTCATTTGACCTCCAAATCGAGAGAGCAGTTGAGATTTGAGATATCAAGTGCGCACAAAATCAGACGTCATATTTCCAGGAAAGATTATCAAATCTATAAGGTCTTACAGTGTGCCCTACGGTATGCCCCACCGCCACGCTCAGAAGAGGGATTAACGAGAATTGCGCAAGGGCTATAAACTGTCAACAGGTGTTTGATTCTGCTGTGCAAACTGCTATGTTAAGAACATAAACCATTTAAAAGTCTTACCTTTAACGCGAATATCTTACTGTATTGGTGCAGACCGTTTTTTCCTCCTCAGTTTTCCAGTGAGTTTTCACACCTAGTTTGTTGTTCATAGGATCAAGGAAGTGGATCACAGAACTGTAATGCTGACACCATGTTTCTTTTACTACCTGTGAAATGATTCGTGTCGTAAACCGTCCCGGGGTACAATGTACTACATGTATCTAGGTCACTTGTATATATTGTATTTCGTACCTTTATCTGTCTGAATTTACTTTTGTACGAAAATACCAGCCAACAAACACCAGTCAACAAACAGTTGGAAAATATTCCTTCAATATAACGTGCAATGGCATAAGTCAACCAGAACATTACTTCTTTTATAGTCAAAACGCCGTAAATAGCTGTTTGTCCTTTATTTCCTTCTTGTAGTTTCCCAAAACAGGGATTTTTGTTTAGGATCTTTTGTCACAAGAGGCGATTGTTTCCAGCCAGGGAAAGTGTCTGTTATTTTAAAGAGAATTTTTCAAAGATGTGATATCAAGTTCTACTACTCTGCTGATTCCCCAGTAGTAAGCAATTTTTAATGTAGGCCTAATTCCAGAAAAAGGTTTAAATATGTCCATAGATTGAATACACACTGGATAAATGCACATCAAAAGATCAAACTAGTTTACGCCTGATGTTAATTTTTGCCTTATTTTCTAGGGTTTCATATTCCTTGCAGAACAACAATGACACCACCGTAATTTTGAACTTTTGTATTTTTAGTACCGAAGCTATGAGATCATACCAAATAAAAATAAAAAGAGAAATAATAAAAACTTACCATAACATATCTGAGTAAAAATCATTATTACGGTCAAGACATGCTACCAATAGAGTTAATAATGTACATCCAAAGTACAGAGCATCTAAACATATAAAGTTACTGAATGGTTGATAAATACTGATGTCGCATGTCTTTATGGCCGAACATATTAATTTTGAACAATATAAAAACACGTGGGGGATCTTTGCAAAACGGCAAAGTATTCTCACGCGTGATCACATATACGTAACAGCTAATGAAACAAAGGTAGTACTTAAAATACATATAATCATTCTTTAATCATGCAAAATGTTTTTTTATTGTATCGTTTATATTATGTAAAAGATTGGTATTGGTTCTTTCCACTGATATACTGAAGGCTGTAAGTCCACAGGTAAGAATAAAACCATGCAGCTGTCCCTGTGACCCTGTTCTCTCTTTTGTCCGACTTATTTATTCCCCTCTGAAACCAAAGGAAAATTGACAGTTAATTCCTTGTTAATACTCTGAATCGTTTAGTGGGTTTCCAATTAAATAAAATGTTTTCGACGAAAGTCTGGGGATTTCAATTAAATTGACAGTAGTTATACAAGTGTTTTAACACTTAAAAAAGTCCAGCGGTGCCATCAATTAGTCTAGGAGTGAGTTTACCAGTGGCTCAACTGAGTAAATGTATAGTTATACGTGTAAAATAATCAAGAATAGAGAAAAACAAAGCTAGTGCTTAATTTACGTTACAGAATATCATGTTATTACTCACAAATCCATAAAAAAACACACTTTATATGAAATATGAAAGATAATTTTTTTAATATTTAAAAAATGTATCTTCCTCCATATTTTACCTTCGTCTTGCACAGGGTCATCTGGTGACTGAACAGGAGATTAATGCTGTTGCAATTGCTGGAGCTCAACCACTGCCTCACGGATCGTATCGCTAACATGGGGATATGGTGTCTTCAAGGACTCCATGAATACATGGAAGGCATTAGGCCCACGAGTGGGAAGTATATCAAGTAATCGTTCTATGCGCTGTAACCGGGTTTTTTCTGACATGATAGTATCCTGCATATCATCGATTATAATCTTCTCCTAGAACCAAAGAACAATTGACATGATGCTTAAAAATCTCTTTGTTCATACCCAGAGTTAAAGACATGCAGAACTTACCAGAGCCTTATACTATACACTTTTATATTTTAGCAATTTATCATAAATCACCATGGTTTATCCTATCCGAACTTTAATTTCGAGATTTCTATTTTTATGTTGCAATTTAAATCCCAAGATACAAATAAATTTTAGCAACAAAAAAGGTTTATAGGTCGTAATTTTGTTAACGCTTTTGGAATACGGTATAGTGTTAAAAGTTCCAGGAAAATAAAATTGTTGATTGGTAAAGGTATCATTCGTTCAGGACTTAATTAACAAACAGTGGATTTTTATTTCAATTATGTTTATATTTCAATATTTCAATTTCAAAAACACCTATGGGGGGGGGGGGGGTGGAGGGGGAGGTTTTGCAATAACCTGTATAAGATGACCCATCAAGTACTGAGGATCCAGGGTTTCACATAAATATACTCTGCATTTGATGAGAGCATCTCTGTGTATTTTCTCCATATTGTTTTATAGGGCTCAGTTAAAGCTGCAAAGCAGCCTGAAACGAAGTTCATAAAATGGATAAAATTTAATTAAGTCGACTTATATTTTATTGGTATAAAATCTGTTTAGAATGCAGTCTAATACAATGGAAACTGTGAGTTAAGGGAACGTGGAGTTCGTTAAAAAACAATCCTTATGTTTTTAATGGTTTAGCTGGGTGTGTCATCAGCACAATGACGCGAGCTATTTGACTGGTATATAACTATTTCTTTAGTGTTAAAGTGTGGCTAAATTTTAAGCATGCCGGGTGGCATATTTATACACATTAATTGCGTGGCGAACGGGTCGCTCACACTCAGCCCAAGACGCCATAGTTCTATAGGTAATATAGGTCAAAAGTGAAAGTTAATTATTAAGCGTTCGCACCTGTTCCTATTTTTATATCTTATTCTCACTCTCTGCTTAACAAAATCAATCAATCAATCAATTAATCAATCAATCAATAACAACAAAGGCTGTGTTACATGTATTAACTCGTAATGTTGTATTTGATGTCGGTCAATAATGGTTTATTATATTTAGTGACTGCTAGGCTATGTTAACCAGGTAGGTGGTGAATTTACCAGAAACTTTTTACATATGAGGTCAACTGCACTCATAACTAAACATGCCGGTTTTCCAAGAAGCTTGATTGAACCTGTAAACTGGTTCAATGTATCCCCACAGCAGCAGTCAAAAGAGCGAAAAACAAAATAACAGTAAAAAGGTTACAATACCTACAGTTGTTTTGCTTTAATATTTGTAATAGGGCCTACCAGAACACATTGTTAACAACTGCTAAAAGCCAAGCAAGCGTCTTACCTAAAACGCGTCTTCAGATGTATCTAAATATATGCGTTGATATCCTTTCCTCTTTCCTCAGTTTTCGGGATGGGCTTTTGGTTGTATTCGCGTCGTTGATACCTCTGAGAACTGAAATGTTGATGTCCTCAAGTCTCACCCAGGCGGGAAAAAGTTAACGCCGTGCTGCTGAGGTATCTGGGACAACAGTTATTTGATTTCAATCATAAAAGACGCCCAAAAAAGGGCATTCGCCAGTTTGAACAACACATTTCAAAGAAAAATACACAAAGACCTGCTGATTGCCACAGGGTAAGGTGTTTGAATACGTTAGATAGAACATGCTAACCATAAGAATTTGCATTGAAGGTTACAAACCACTATTAAAAATCCCATTCACTTCCATTGTAACGTTTAATTCTCTTAAAAATATTTTCCATGCATCAACAAACACAACACTTCAGGTTTAAATACTTCTATTCAAGGCCTAAACAATATTAAAAAATCAGGGTACATTAATGGCATAGCTTGCCAGTGACATGACATGACCCGTAAGGTGCTGCCGCCAGTCAGCCAAAATAAGCATTAAAATGCAACAGAGGGGAGGGCATGTAAAACTGGCCCCAGGCAGTAACATTTCACTCTGATATGAAAAATAACACATCAAATTAAAGGTAAATGAACAAATTTATTTCTAAAATTTATTTCAAAATTTTCAAATGATCCAAAATTGAAAAATAAACTCATTTTTCTCTTATATGCAAATCTTCTTGATTCAAACTTGCTAAACAAGGAAGGCCGGAAGTGCCGTATAGGTATAACCTGAAAAGACAGATGTCTGAAGTCAGTTTTGTTAATCACCCATCTGAAAGTGACTGTAGAATTTACATGTTTGACCATCTTCATAATCGGGCATCATTTATTTTGCGTGCAGTTGGCTCAATATCTAAAACCTTTCAGTATTAAATCTAGACTTAAAGTTAACGTCGTGCTGTTGAGGTATCGAGGCACCTGTTATTGTGCTATCATAAAAACGTCACAAAAAAGGGAATTCGCCAGTTTGAACAACACGTTTCAAAGAAAAATGCACAAAGACCTGCTGATTGCCCCAACGTCACCTGCTGACTAAGCAAATAAGGTGAGCATGTAATGCCTTGGCGAATTGCCACCTTCAATTATACTGCAGCAATATTTAACCTTTATGAGAATAAAGATGTTTGAAAAAATAATAAAGTCTAACGTTTACTTTTGGTCTCGTTTTATAGTTAAGGAAGGACTCGAGGTAGTCAACATTTCAGTTCTCAGAGGAAATATATCCGAAAAGCCTACCTGAAAACTGAGGAAGGGGAATATATCGGCAGGAAGATATTTAGATATCCTAAAAATTATTAAAAGTAAGGTGTTTGAATACGTTCTAGAACATGCTAACCATAAGAATTTGCACTGAAAAGGCAGACGTCTGAAGTCAGTTTTGTTTATCGCCCATCTGAACGTGGCTGTAGGGATACATTGTAAGAGTTTACAGGTTTGACCATATTCATCATCGGGCATCATTTGGCAGTTGACCCAATATCTAAAAGCTTTCAGTATTAAACCATTCAGTTTATCCTCAAGCAAAATAACCACGCACCTGGCTGTATGAGCTAGCAGTTACTGCATAAGTCATTATTTACGGACATTTCAAAAAAGTACTGTACTGGTATTATATCTCAGTTGTTTTCTTTGTCAAGTGCTTGAAGCATAACTTGATGCTGAACACGAATCTGATAGACATCCTTTTAAACGACTATGAATTGCGCCTGTGCATGGACGTTTTTCAAAATGGGGCTGTAGCGATAGTCCGAAGGTTCAATAGTCCTAAGGTTCATTGGTCCGAATGTTCACTATAGAACCTTCGGACCAATGAACCCTTGATAAAAAAAATCCATAAAAGTGTTACCACTTTTCGGACCAATGAACCTTCGGACCAATGAACCTTCGGACTATTGCGACGCCCCTTTCAAAATGGCGGACAAGGCAGCCTACAAATATTTTTATCGATGATGATTAAAAGTACCACACTGTATATCATCTTTAATGTCTTATGTTTTGGTTGTAGAGTCTATTTCACATCTGAGTACCGCCACTAGTGTACTGTTAAATTTCGATGTTAGGTCAGTTAGCAAGCGTGCTTTATATTTAATGACGTACATGTAGCCGATAGGACTACTGTTCAAAGTTCCATGGTTCCTATAGAATGGTAGATAGTCCAGCCTTCCAAGAATGGTAGATTTTTTAACCTAATTAATACTCGTAGCTTATATTTCTGATCAGAAATGGATCATGTGGCCCATTTTGCCTATGTAAACACCTGTTCCTCTTGGGTTTTTTTTAAGTTACTATTTACTCCACACTAATTCGATAAAATATTAGAGGTAATATCTTGTCTTTTAATATTTTGTTAGAAAAATATTGAAAATGAGATACAGTACAATAAGATCACTAACTTTTAAATAACGTGGTATCGAATAATTTTAAGTGACCTCTATCAAAGTATGGGTCCTATAGCGGTCCGTTCGAGGCACTGCTATGATCAATTTATGAATCAACATTTCATTGTGCATTTATTTGCTGAAAACATAAAGAAACGGTGCACATTTTGTATGAATAAAAAGTAAACACTAAGAGAAAAACTTAAAGAGTTGGAAAGTTGTGGAAAAACGAGAGATGTGATGCATCAATGTGACATGATAAGTTAAAAAGGGGAGCTAAATTATTATTTTAAAATAAGAATAAACGAATTCATTCTTAGCCACGAAGAGAATGTATCTTACAGACTTTTAAGCCGGCCAAGTTGACAGTAATTTAGTGAGACTCCCCAGGGGGATATCTGTGGGAATGGTCTCTTATTAATGTTTAATTTTCTGTCGTAGTCCACGTTCCCTAAACCAGGCAACATTGCAAGCAGTTTTGTGCTTGTAAAATATTAGTAGGTTATATTCAGTTTTATTTTTGCTATTTATTTGCGTTTCAGACTACACTGCAAACCTAAATCAGCATTACATACGATATGGAGGAAAAACACAGAAAAGTTCTCCGAAAATGCAGAGACTATTTATGTAAAAACCTGTATCCTAAGTTCTTTATCAACCGTCTTATAGAGGTTAAGTACCATGTAACCCTCAACCCTCCACCACCCTCTCTCTCTCTCTCTCTCTCTCTCTCTCTCTCTCACACATAAAATATGGTTAATTTCCAACAGATTTAGATTTCAACTTTGTAAAAGAGTAATGTTTGTGAACTTCTGAAAGGCACGCGGCTAGTGATATATATAAAGAAATATCATTTTCTGGAAATTTTCTGTTTTATGTCAATTATTCTTTATTTTTGGGTTGTAGGAGGAGATTTTAGATAATGATATGAAGGATACGATTATGGCAGCAGAAACCAAAAAAGAGCAAATGGAAAGGTTCCTTGATCTACTTCCCACTCGTGGACCCACTGCCTTCGATGCATTCATGAGCTCCTTGAAGAAGGACTATGGGTTTGTTATCAATGAAATCAACGCTAAATTGGCTGACCTCGAACAGGGACAAGCTCAGCCTGGTAACCCAGTGCAGGCAAGTGGAAATGACTAAGGTATAGACATTAAGACAGGAACAGTGTAGAAAAAAGTATTTTACACGAAAATATGCTTTCTTCTGGATTGCTGAGTCAAAAGATGACGTCTTGGTACGCAAACTGAGCAATTCTTTCATAAAATTAGTTTTCACTCATTCCATCACTTCAGCAATATGTTGGACAGACTCCTTTACCAACTGATGATATTTAAGAACTCATTTTAACACGGGCATATATATCTGCTGTTATCTTGAAATAACCAGATTTTCCTCTTAAACATTCCAGATCCTAACAACTGCATTGACAGACATTTTCAAAATAAATTTCTTTTGTTTTAGGAATAGATGTATAGGAAAACGGAACAAAGAGAACGCAGCCGAAGGAATATCTGCGGGATTTAAGTTCCATGGAACGAACAGTTATACCAATCTTTTGCTTATCATAAACTTTCAAAATATTTTGCCTGATTTTAGAATACATATTTGTTTTGTTTTACCGCTTCTTGCCATTAGCTCTTCACTGTGTGCTTGATTGTCAACAATGATTATGAAGAATCATCCTTGTAATAGAATACACTTCTTAGTTACAAATAAACTTTTCGTACTGTACAATCTGGTTGTTTATTTAATATTAAATATTAATAATTATAACATACACATATAAATAAGTTGAGAATTATGATGAAATTATGCAATATATCATAAAAATCAATTGGCAAGGCAGAGGTTTTAAAGAAGCGTTGTATTGTCATTCCAAAAAGTTCTAATCTGAACATCTACGGAATTGACACCATTTTGACTCAAAAGTCTAATTATATCTGAATATCCTGAAGTCTTGTAATGTCACTTTATAAGGTTTTCCTAAGCAAGCAATGCAAATAATTCGTGACGTGGTTTTAAAAACATGTCTGTGTTTATTTGTCTTTGTGATTTCCACAGTGGTACTTGTAGAAAATATCAATAAAATTGAAAAGACCGTCAAATTTCACCAAGTTTATACAAATTATCAGAGAAATCTCTTTTAAAGTCAAGTTTATTTTCTACAGGTTGTGTGATAGGCTCTCCTCAAGGGTCACAAATCTGTTCTGTGAGACATTGTCTCATTCTTGAGGAGGTGGTACAGATTATTGGGGGGGGGGGGGGGAGAAAGGAGTAGGTGTTTTGTCATGCCTCTTAAGTCACCTCCTGTTCTGCAAATCCCGCGGAAGAATGAGACATTTGTTGAAAATGCCCCATCTAGGACTGCAGCGTGCAGAAACGTGCCCGCCAACACGTTGTCTTTGTCGAAGAATAAAGATTTCTCATTGCTGATCATGATAAAAATAATAATTCAATTATCTACAGATCAGTCCACTTTTGGAGAGTTTTATGCCGACGTTGCTAATAACTTCTTTTTGCAACAGAATATGTTATTCCAAGATAGTTTTTGTTAAAGATTCGATGTTCATGAGGCATATAGAGCTTAATTGGCGCTCCGCCTCCTTCACCTTAATTCTACACGTGAAGTGCGACGTTCCTCGCGCCGAATGCAACACCACATATAATTCCAATGAGAAGTATAGCACCAATAAACGATAGAATAATTAACCTTTCACAGTACAAGCGAGTTCTCTTCGCGCGTGTAAGATCACCTTGCTGAATTCCCTTTTTGTACTCTTCTTCTGTTTTCAATGCATAGATGAATGCAGGTATTCCAGTTGGAAAGAAAATTATAACTGAGATAGCCGACAATATTTTCAATCGTCTAGACTGTCTTTGTTTAATGATTATATCTTCAGCGGGCTGAACGTCTCGTGTTTTGATAACGTTTTCATCTGATTGCGGTTGTTGAGAATCCGATTGCGTTGTTTTCTCCTCCAGGTGTATGTTTACCTGATCTACAGCCGTGTCCTTTATGTCCTTGTCGCGATTAGCGGACATTTCTGCTGTCGGTGGGGAAGATGACATCTCTTTCATCTCCATTGCTCTGTTTTCATAACTAGAATAAAAGAACCTTCACTGTAATTGTCGCCAATTGGGCAATATAAACACATGACAATGAAGCCCCAACACCCCCCCACAAAAAAAA